TGCAATTGCTCACCACCCGCCGACCGATGCCCAGCCAGTCCCCGAGCAGCGGCCCCCCCGGCCAGCTTTCCCCAGTTTATGTACTGAGCATGACGTGACATGGTATGGAATGTCCCTCTGGCCAGTTTGGGTCAGCTGTCCTGGCTGTGCCCCCTCCCAGCTTCTTGTGCCCCTCCAGCCTTCTCAGTCGGTAGAGCATGGGAAGCTGGAAAGGCCTTGGCTAGTGTAAGCACTACTGAGCAACAACTAAAACATGGGTGTGTTATCAACTTTGTTCTCACCCTAAATCCAAAACACAGCACTGTACCAGCTACTAGGAAGGAAATTAACTCTATCCCTGCCGAAACCAGGACAGCAGGTGACACCAAGCATTTGCCACAGTGGATGTTTTTAGTAAAGGGTTGCAGATCCCTCAGCCCTTCTCCTCATTAGCAAACTGAACTTCAGACATTCTCCCTTGGACTAGTTCTCCTCCCATTCATAATGAGGCAAGAACGGCTCACTGGGGAAGGCTGAGGACAGTCTGATCTCCAGGAGCCCGACACTGTAAGAAACGTTCTTTCTGCCATTAACGTCTCTTGTGGTTTTTTAACCCTCTCCATTTATTCAACATTGATCTTCAATTAGGACAGCAGAACTGGACACAATGTTGCATTAGTATTCAGACCAAATAACTGATACAAAAGTAATAAAGTTTTCCCACTTTTCTACTTCAGGTTCCTCTATTTCTTATCAAAAGATGGAGTTTGCTTTTTGGGCCACAGAATAAAAACTTATGGTTGTTGGTTCTTTACTATGACTACCAAGTTCATCTTATAATCACTGACTGCCACAGAGGAGGTGCACCCCCTAAGCGTGTATCATGCTTTGTTTCTAGCTGTGCTTTTATGCTTAGAATACTTATACATCGTGAAAGCTGAGTACTCAGATTGTGTTGTGTCAGTACTCTGCATAATTTTCCTGGTCCTAGCATTATCCCTAAAATCAGTAATTTTGATTTCATCTCTTCTTCCAGGTCATGGAAAAAGGGTTAGAAATGAGAGGACCATCTAAACATACCCCTTCTTCAGGGAAGATTATCCATTCACAAATACAGTCTGGAGACATCAAACAATTCTGAATCCACATGCTGTTTGCCATTTCTGAGCATGTTTTGCTCTACTGTCTTTAAGAATCATCCAGTAACAAAAGTCAAACACCTTAAAGTAGCAACAAGTCAAATACTATCAATATAGTACACTTACATTAAGGTATCATTTTAACCAACCATGTAATTCTGCCCCCAAAGATATTAGACTGGTTTTATTTTCCTTAAGACTGTGATAAATGGTCTTCATTGCATTTCATTCCTTTAACTGTCAGTCACTTCCCTTATCAGTCATACCAGCACTTTATTTGGGAACCTTTATCTTAAGATTTCTTTATTTGGGAGCCTTTATCTTAAATTTTGTAATTGCAATGACAGAACACGAGTGGGAACCTCTGAGGTAGCAGGAACCATCTGCGTTCAGTTCAAAGGCAACAGAGATATTTGCCATGTTACAATATATTAATGCCTTTTTCTTATATATTATGCAAAAGTAAACATGTAATATGCACAATTCTTTAATAATCTAATCAAGTTTGCCAGTACAAAAGCAGTAAGAGATTTGTTAAAGGAAGAGACACCTATATATTTTCCAAATATTTTTTTTTGCTCTGTGAACAGTTTGCACTGACAATGTTATTGGAGCATCAAAAAGCTCGGCTATTCTCTGCTTTACAAGCCATTCTGCATGGAGATAGCTTGAAATAATAGACAAAACTAAGAAAGAGTTTTCATTGTCAGGGAATTCAATATTCCTGCCTACAACACTTTGTCCCCATTGTATTAGATCATTTTGATCTTCAGAATCTGAGAAGAATGCAGAATTGCTAACTCTGGTTTCTGAAACTTATAGCAGAGACTGACATTTACATAGAACCTCAAAAATTTCACTTGGGCTCAGTGTTTGCACAAAAGTCAATATGCCCTATACCCCAGGAACAGTACCTAAACCCTTGCAAGGCCTTTTAATCATCCACCTCCTTAATAGTTTCCTTTGATAAATCTTCAGGCCTTTTCCATTTCTTCTATCAGAATTAAAATGACCAAGGGTAAAATAAGCGCACTATTGAGCCGACAATGTTGTGTCAATTCCCATGATGCTCCAATATTTCAGTATCTTTTAACCATTTTGTCAATCTCAGAGGAATTGTATGCAACTGTGATCTCCATTAATGTTATATCCAGAATTTTAAAAATGTCACTGAGAGGATTTGTTATCCAAAGTGGCCTCAGAGAACTAAACTAATATGATGTATTGGTTAAGCCAACTACAAAATATCACAGCCACTGGGATATTAACAACTGAGTTATACTGGAGACTCTGATAACATCTTTGCCCCTATGCATATGGTAGGCTAAGCTTTGCCTTGGTATCTTATAAATAAGCTGCATATCTAGGAATATGCCTTGCTTTCCAGTTTTTTCTTTGGGGTGGTGGTGGTGGTGTTGAGCTTAATTCTTCATAACCATAAGGAAAACCACATTCCTTTTTCCTTTTTTGTGACCTAAATCTGTTGAAGACCCTCGATCCTGTGATATTTATTTCTTCTGAAAACACGAAGATAGAACTTAAGTTACCCTACTGTCAGTTATTGATTGATCATTCTCAAACTTTATCAACTGGTGCTAACTTTTAAAATTTAAAAGTCATAATTTTTCAAAGCTTCTTCTTACTTATAATTAAAAACAAGCTAAAGCATCTCCTGTTCCCTTGTGCATTTTTGTTTCTTTTTAAGGTATTTAAAACTGCAGCCCTTCCATTGAACCCTGGCCTAGCAAGTACATAAAAAAATCCCCTCTGCCTCCAACGTAAAGGTATTTTGCATGTGACAATCGCTTCTATCTGTACATCTCAGAGATTTAAGAATGCCATTTTACTTCTTTGGACGCAAATACGTTATAACACAATAGCCGTCCACAATTCCAGCTGTCCCTGACTGTAATGGAAACGCAGCACGGCAGCGTACACGCTAAGCAGAAAGAGGAACGCCCGTCTTCCCCGGCTCAGTACCACAACCACCAGCCACATATCAAGGCAGGAAAACACCTCATCATCAGAAACACTTGATGATGGCACCGGGCCGAGCCCCGTGAGAGGACCAAGCAACAGCAGTAGCGGTGGGACCCAGCCTCTCTTCCCCATGAAGGAGGCAGGCTCGGAGCTGCGCAGGTTCAAAAGTCATCTTTCTACAGCAACCAAGAGAACAGTGCAGGGGACCCGTTACCACGCTCCTAGGGCGTATTTCTGCCCCCAAAGCCCCTCCACCCTATCTAGCTCTTCCTGCTTTCCTTAGAGCCTCAGGCCCTGAGGTGACGGGTTGCAAAACTCTCCACTTACAAACCCGGGAAGAGGCAGGAAGGTTCTACAGGTGCGGGGGGGGAGGGGGGCAGGAATCCCGACGGCCTCCGTAAACCTGCAGGG